TCCTGGGACTTGTAGTCCCACACGGACTTTCTCCAATTTGGGCCACTTTCCTGGGGACTGCATCCCTCCAAGAGTCCTTGAGGCTCCCAGCATTACTGTGCAAGCCTCCTCTATTCTGGGCAATGGGAGGGGATCCCAGGGACGTTTTGGGCACAGTTTAGGAGACAAGGCGTTCTCATGGAAGCCTGGAGGACATGTTAAACAACTTATGGCACTTGTTTATAAGCAGTGTACACTATGTCACCATTAACTTTTTATGGCTCATGTTGACAGGCATTGTTTTCCTGCATTTGATATGTATTTGAAATACCCCTAACAAATAGAAATAGAAATGCAATTTAAATACTCCAAACTTTTCCTGACCCTTTGCCTTGGCTCTCTCTCTCAATTCTATACTTCTGTAAATATAGGAAAGTATTTTGCTAGCTTTAGACTCCCCCAACTATTCTCCTCCTGGTATGAATGATGCATCTATGTTTTCAGCCCCCAAGTGCATAACTTTACATTTATCAACAATAAATCTCATTTGCCACATAGTTGCCCAATTAAATAGAGCATTGAGGTCGCCTTGTATAGTAAGCTGGAGACATCCTGTAAGGGCATAATTCTACTACATAGCTTGGTGTCATCTGCAAACACTGAAATGGTACTTTTAATCCCAGACTCTCTATAATTTATAACTTAAAACATATCATTGATAAATGATAAATGTTTATGACTTTTGGGGTACACCCAGAGGTGGACTGACAACTCATGGGACCCCCGGGCAATAGGGAATCATGGGGCCCCTGTGTCCTTGCCCACACTCAAAGCACACCCAAAAAAGCCTACAAAAGGTACCAGGGGCATTTCATGGGGCCCCCTACTGACACAGGGACAGCGGACAATGCCCAAGTGCTCAAATGTTCAGTCTGCCCCTGGGTACACTACTAATAACCTTAGACCATTCAGAGTTTAAATCAATAATCTGAATATGATCTTTTAGCCAGTTTTCTATCCATTTACAAAATTAATTTTCTAAATCTGTAGACTTTAATTTACTCATTAGTCGGGTGTGGGGAACTGTGTCAGACGCTTTGGCAAAATCCAAGTATATTATGTCCAGAGTCACTCCTTTGTCTAAATTTTTACTTACTATCTCATAAAAAGAAATTGGATTTGTTTGGTAACTTCGGTCTTTCGTGAATAATATATTGCTTAATATATTATTTTCTAGCAAAAATTCTTTTATGTCTTCTTTTAATAAACTCTCAAGTATCTTCGCAGCTATAGAAATTAAACTAACTGGTCTGTAGTTACTTGGTAAAGACTTTGATCCCTTTTGAAATATAGGCCTTATGCCAATCCAGGGTATCGAGCCAGTCATTCAAGACTCTCTTAAAATTAAAAACAATGGCTTAGCTATAACAGAACTCAGCTCTCTGAGGACCCTTGGATGTAAGCCTTGTGGTTCAGGTGCTTTATTCACCTCTATTTTGTCTAAATGTTTTAACTGACGCATTTTCACCAAACTAGTTCTTAGAAGAATGTGCACAAGCATTTGAGCTCTCTTAATACTTTGGCTATTTAATGCCTAACTGCACTTGGAAAAGTTCCAGCCCTGATGAATATTCATTCTAAAGCTGAACTTAAGGCAAATAAAAATACACAAATTACCTTCTTATAAGTAATTTATCTGTGTATTTAGCTGTTTGCCTGAAGTTCAGCCTTTACAAATGGGCCATTTTCCACTTTTTTTCTAAGAGAACCAGTCACAGATGGTCATTAGTAATAATTGAAATCTTCACTCTTGAAATCTCCCTGTTTCATGGAAGAGTTATAACTCATTGATTGGATTACATGAAAGAAAATGAGTTGTTAGCTGAAAGTTTAACACTCTTCCAGCAAACTGAAAAAGTATTTTTTCAGTACTTAGCTGAATCAGCTGGTAAGATAGTATTTGAAGGAACTTCCAGATCAAGCCCTTATTTCTTCTAGCATAGCAAAACCCAACTTATATGTCATACTTACCTGTTCTGTGCAGTGGTTTTGCACAGAGCAGCCCCGATCCTCATATTCTCAGGTTCCCAGATGGCTCTCCTGGCTCCTCCTTCCTGTCGGGTGCGCCATAGCAAGAATCTTGCTATGGGGGCACCCGCACAACCATGCTCCTTAGCCACTGTCCCGTGTATCCATTCACATACGAAGCCGCGACTCGGCCCCATCCCATCTGTCTACTCATTGGCTCACTGACTGTGAATGACAGCCAATGAGGCAGAGACCCAGGAGAGCCAAGGTTCTTATGCACATCGCTGGATTACAATGGGACTCAGGTAAGTATTGGGGGGTTGGGGGGGGGGCTGCTGCACACAGAAGACTTGAGCCTTAATAACCACTTTAAAGCTATTTTTGGCACCCTTATTTTAGGCTAAATACATATCTCATTGTTATACACTTTTGAGTCTGGTGATGGGGGTGGGGGAAGGTTCAAGGCTAAATTGGCCTCTGGCCGAGGGGCAGCATTCTTATTGCCACTTTTATGCCTGTCTTGTGAGCCACACACACACAAAAAACTATAGTTGTGTTGTTTGTTGCTCCTGCATGGGCACCTTTTGTACTTTATTGGAAATTTAATAAATAGAATTAAAAAAAACAAACATACCTCATTAGCTACAGATGCAACAAGTCCATTTTGTGTTCAATTAATACTTTTGAAAAAGGCACATTTGTTACCTTTTAAAATTAGAGTTGATGTCATGACTGGGCTGCACATAACCAGTGCAGAAAGTAGATCTGTGGGTGGGTTCCTCATGCATTTCATATCAGCTCTTGGTGACATGGATGCTTTAGTTTTACCCCCTTAGTGTCCAGGCCAATTTTCAGCTTTCAGTGCTATCACACTTTGAATGACAATTGCGCGGTCATGCAACAGTGTACCCATATGAATCATTTTGCATTTTTTTGAGACAGATAAAACTTTATTTTGGTGATATTTATTCACCACAGGGATTTTTTATTTTTTTTGCTATATAAATGAAAAAGTCCAAACATTTTGAAAAAAAGAATCTTTCTTCATAAATCTTGGCCAAAATTTATTCATCTATCTTTTTAGTAAAAAAAAAATAACCCAAATTAGTTTATAACCAAAAATTATAATTTTTCAAAATGTACTTTACATTTTTTTTATATTATTAATTATGTTTTTTTTAACATACTGTCACCCTAGCAGTACAGTGTCACCATAGTGACACTGTACTACTTGTGGGGGGTGATGAAGATTTTTTTTTTTTTTACACTGATCGCTTTTACACCCATAAATGCTGTAAAAGCAATCATTTCTCCTTCTCTCTGGCTGCATTCTTGCAGCCATTGAGAAATACTGTGTGAGCTGTGATTGGTCACAGCTTGTCACATGGTAAAAGGCTGTTGTGAATAGCCTTGTGCCATGTGACCTCTGTGATCATTCACAGATTTCACTAGTAGTAAGCAATGATGTCAGAAGTGACATCTTGCTTACTACTATTCATGTGATCACTGATTGGCCAACCAGTGATCACATGATCGGGTCCTCACACAGAGGTCCCGTACAGCGATCGGTGTTCTGATGTGTCTGGAGGACACAGTGTGCACCGGATCGCGGTGCCGCACACTCCCAGGGAGAGCACACAGCTTGAAAATGCAGGCGCCATTTATGAAGGGCAACCCGCTCCTGCACTGCTCCCGTCTGGCCGTTTATGTACTTGGCTCACACGGGAGGTGGTTAAGCTGTTTTATTTCTTTACCATCAATATAAATGATGTTGTCCCTAGAGAAATGGTCTATTCTTGTACAAACAAATACCCTCAAGCCACCTAATGAGCAAAATTACTTAAAGGAAACCTGTACTCATAGGCTACCATTGTCGACTCTTCTTTAAAAGTATTTCTCACTGAGCAGAATCTTGTTTATGTGTAGTTATATATTCAAGTGAACAGTGGCATAATCTGACCATAATGTCTATAGAGTAAATAAATCATACAGGTGCTTCCTATAAAAATGAATTGGCTTGGTAGTATGGTATGCCAAGCCATTTGATGACGGAAAAGTACATATATGGCTATTCTAAAACATGTTCTCACATAATCATAAAGAAAAGTGAGAGGTGCTATACACAAAGCAAGTGATTCAAGATGCAGATGGCTGCACCTGTTTTTTGTTATTGTGATCCTCTGAAGAAACAACTTGTAGAGTGCCGGAGTCACATTCAATTAATCAATGATCTTCCCTCCAACAATTTGCGGTCTGCTGCATTTGAACTATGCTGATGTTTCTGTGTATGATTTTGGTATTAAAAGCTTACAGCAGAGACGGTTCAAATCTTGGCTGGTTCAGCAGGGACTGAACAAGATTCAAACCATGTATGGGCAGATTTAATGTACCAAGTTGATCAATTGATCAACTTGGGTACAACCAGCCTGTCAGATTTTACATGTGAATATTGCTAGCGGCTATTATAGCCATTAGCAGTAATCACTGTGTTCTCCTAGTGGGGACGGCTCCCCCCCACTAAGGGAACACAAGAGCTCCGTGGGAGGGATTCCCCCATCAGCACTGACTGTGCTGATGTGGGAATTAAGTGATTTTCCTTATGGGGGTTGCAGGAAAGAAGATCAATCCATCTATGGCAGGCTTAACTATGTGCAAAATCAAAAATGGCATATTTGATGTAGTGTGTCACTATCATTAATGCAGAAGTTCTGTTTTCTTGATGCTGTGAAGCTTTAATTTGTTTGTCTTTTTTAAAGTCCATTTAACAGGTTCCGTGCCGCCCTATAGCAGAAATACTGCTACAGGGTGGAATGGGTGTGCAAAATCACGTATATATATATTATTTTGCCATTCTAGGTAAGGGGCTGCACGCACCCTACCCACGCTGCCATTTGCGGCCTCGACTGTCAATCATCGGATCCCAACTGGTGATTACTCACCGGCACCCGGTGATCGCCGAGTATCTCCGATGGGGAGAGACCTGTGATGGGGAGAGACAGATCTCTCCCCTGTCAGCTCCTGCACACTGCTTTGTAGGTCAGTGTGCATACGGTGAAGCACACACACAGCTCACATTGTTTAAAAAGCACACAGCACATAGTTAACCCTTTGATCGCCCCAGATGTTAACCATGCCCAGTGCCATTAGTACAGTGTCAGTGCTTTTTATTAGCACTGATCACTGTATTAGTGTTACTGGGAATGTCAGTGACACCAAGTCAGTTCCCCCCGTGTCAGAATGCCCGCCGCAGTCCCACAGTCCTGCTATAAGTTGCTGATCACCGCCATTACTAGTAAAAAAAAAACAACTCCAGTATCTATACCGTCATTTGTAAACGCTATAACTTTCACATAAACCAATTAATTTATATGTATTGGGATTTTTGTAGCAAATACATGTTGGCCTACATTTATGATGAAATTTGATTTTTTTACATTTTTTTAGACATGTTTAATAGCAAAAAGTCAAAAAATATTGTTTTCTTTCTCAAAATTGTGGGTATTTTTTTGTTTATACCGCAAACAATAAAAAACACACAGGTGATCAAATACCACCGAAAGAAAGCTCTATTTGTGGGGAAAAAAAGGACATAAATTTCATTTGGGTGTAGTGTTGCATGACCACGCAATTGTCAGTTAATGTAATGCAGCACCCTATCGCAAAAAATGGCTGGTCAGGAAGGGCGGTAAAACCTCTGGACGGCAAGTGGTTAAAGTACATGTACCATCTAAGACTATCCTGTACACAGGATAACAGTGCTGCTGCTCAATATCACAGCAAAATGAATAGTGTTGTCACTCTATTACAGGAATTGGATAGATCTATAGGCATGATCAACAGGTAATAAAACTATGTTATGGGAAGGGGTCAGAAAGATAAAAACTGCTATGCTATTGAGAGACTGCATCTTAGATTTCATTTTTTATTTTGTCCATAGTCAGTTTAAAATATATTCCCTAAAATCATTGAAAACAAAATGTTGAAGGCAATGTTTTAAGGAATATATTTATTTTATTGTTCTCCTGGGAGTGAAAGAGTTAAGTTCTGTTGTCACAGCTGGCAGTAGTTTACCTTTCCACCTTCACATCAATAAATGTGATTTAATTTGACAAGAGGGATTCTTGTCATTGTCAAACGGCCACAGTCAATTCTCCCTGCAGCTGAACAAAACAGCAGGAACTGCATTAGAAGAATTAAGGCTCAGAAATAGGAAGGACTGAAAGAGATTACATTATGTCCAGAGCAAGACAGGATAACCTACACATTTAGGGAGGTGTCCATCTAAATTTGTCAAAACAGGGAAAAAACCAATGGATTTATTTATTGGACAAATTAATTCATTTTTAAGGAATTGCTTTTAAATGAAGATTTGTGCCAAAAGGGAGATGTTTAAAATATTATCTATTAAAATTGTGGTGTGGGAATTAAAATCACTTTTACATAACTAAATAAATCCCCTTGATTCAAATGTCTTTCTGCCAAAATTCATTTGTTCCAGAAATGTGAGTTGTGTGATACATTTTCTAAATATAGTTTGGCACCATGGCTGTAAATGAGCAATATCTCGTTGGATCAAGAGGTGTTTTATGCACATGCTGCCTTTGGCTATCATCATGCATCTAGCTGTGCCTGGACCACTTATTGTTCCAGGATTTGACTCTTTAGTCTTTATGCCTAGAATCTTAACAGGGTTGTTTGCATAATGCTGAACAGGCATGGCTGGCAGAAAGTACATGTAGCGCATAGCAAATGCACAGATGCAACAGTTGGAATCTTGTCATTAAATCCCACATCCATCAAGCCTCCTTAGCATGTTGCAATGTGAATTATGAGAGATGTTGGCTATAGAAATTAATGATCCTATTTCTACCCAGAAATGTAAACAATATTTGTGCAGTCATTACTTGTCAAAACAGGTGGGGTTTGGCTTTTTTAAAACAAGCTTATTAAAAATGGATATTTATAACAATCATTTTAAATATAATTTTATAAATAAGAAAAATAAGATAGAAATGTTTTGAAAATAATAATCTATAGAGATTGGGGCAGTAAACAGTTTGATAAATCTTCATCATTCAATCATTTATCCTCATGGGGCCTTGGAGGGCAGTGGGCTAATATGCATAGCAAAGACTTCTCTGTGCTGACCACAGAATATAAGTCTGAGGAGTCAGTCTGAAGAATTTTACATCTGTACATCCAGACCATTTAAACCAATGGTGATGAACAGATTGATTCACATGAACCAGACAAGCCAATTCACATGATTTGTACATTTTTGGCCTGATTGATAATCCACTTGGGAATGAGGGTCACTGCAGTCTGTCTTAAAGTTCACCTGAACCCCAAAATTGTTTTATTTTTTACTTTTAGTAAACCCCATTTTGGTCTGTGTTCCACTGGGAAGATTTCTTTTCACTTTGTTTCCCGGAGCCATGAAAAAACATGAAAGAAAATCAATCCAAAGTGAAGATCTAAATAAATTGTCACAACCAGGTGGTCACTGGAAGATTTCCTCTCTATTCTTGTTCTGTTCACAAATGTGTGTGTCCCATAATTTTCTGTCCAGGTGACAATGTGATTAATATAGGTAGTAAATCTACATATTAAGGACACAGCCAACAATAAAAACCTTACAGAATTTTGTAACATTTTCACTCTCAAAACTAAAAAATAGTTTTGCTTTTAAATATACCTAAAAGAGGAACTATACTCCCTTGTTCTCCAGCACTTCCATATTCCAAAGCTTCATGCTGGTTGCTGACCTTCCGGGTACTGTTGCCCGGCCGTTTCCATTGCCCTGGCTGAGATGACTTCACTCCCTTGTATGCGCAGAAGTTCAGTGATCCCAGCATTGCTGAAATTCTTACACTGAACTGTGCATACGTAGCCTAGTGTATAGTGCAGACAGGCAGGTAAGTAACTTTAATGTAAAAGAGACATATCATGTCTCTTCTGTATTAAATATCCTTTTTTTTTTAGGTAAAGTTCCATTTTATAATCTGGTACAAATGTTCCTTACCCTTTTTCAGTTCACACAGGAAGCCTGTGCTTTAAGGCTGGCCATACATTATACAATTATCTGCAGATTTTTGGTTTAGATTTACCAAAAACCATATAATAGGAGGACAAACCTAAACAACACTTTCAGTTGTATCCAATTAGGCAGGCCCTTGCACTACATAGTTGAAGGTAAATCTAAAGGAAATTGGGCAGAAAATCTGCAGATAATTTATAATGTATGGCCAGCCTTGTCTGTGAATGGGATACGATGATAAAACCACTTTTATTGATTGGCAAACATTATAGTGGATAGTGAAGAATAGGAAAGTATACTTGTTATGTATTAAGACAGTGACATAACACTGAACAATGCATTGCACCAGTTCAGTAAAATCAGGATTCTGCTTGCATTCCATTGGTTTTCTGACAAAAATGAATTACTCTGGGATGAGTAGAAAATAAAGTCATTTGCTGATATTCACTCATTAATTCCAATCAGTCCTTCAACGTTAAAAGGATTATAAACTTGTCCAGCTGAGCCCCTAAAATTGCCATACCACTAACCCTTCCCTGCATTACAAGGTTTAAAAAAAGGAAGTAGTAGCCTGACTGCAATGAAACACCATCACTTACCTATATAACTTTTGACCAGCATTCATTGCCCCAAGGTAATTAAACCAGGACACTTATTTGCAAATCTCAAGTTTTAAAAAGACATTTGAGAGTTTACCAGCCTTTTTCAGTCTGCTGTTAGTTTGGAGGTTCAAGAGATGGGTAGGCTCAGTATCCAATAGAGAGATGCAGGAAAGGTAGACTAGCATCCAGCTTTAGCAATAATCAATATTTGATTTTTAACACTCATCCCTTTCAGATTTAGATATTAAAGAAACTGGGCCAAACTATGTGCAAGGACTTGGGGGTGCCTGCCTGGCATTCAGCCTGCTACCCATCAGAGTTAATTGAATGGTAGCAAGGTGCATTGCTATCTTGGTTTTACCATTATCCATTGTGGACTGACTGCAGCAGTTTTCAAGCTGATGACAAACATTAGCAGCTTGTCAACATTGCAGATAAACACAAGCTGTTATTGTTGTATAAGGGAATACAAAGTAGCTTTCTAAATCATTTTTTATTTTATATATCTGGGCTGTCCAAATGGTAGACCATGGGACCTTCTTTTGCGTCCTGCAGTGTGGCAGTCATGTGCCAAGCTGCCATGAACCACCAGAAGTGTCTGTATGTGAAGATTCTTTGAACAGGCATTAACACAGGTACTGAAATGGTAAAGGAAATCAAGCTAAGAGGAATAACACAGCTGCTAGCTCATCAAGTGATGCAAAATGACAATTATAGAATTTACTAAAAAGTGCAGTACTAATAAAAAAAGATAAGATAACCATCACGCTTCAGAAGACATCAGATGTGATAAAATGTATGGTGCGGAGCCGACGTCATCATACATCTCAATAACCAGAAGAGGCCCACTTGAGCCCGGGACCAGCTGCATTACATTACAAGCACTTATACAAGCACTTATGTTTTTAACCTTGTGAGTATATGGTATATTTTTATACATTTTCAGTCAGTGGTTTTAAACTATGTGGTTCCTTTGGTTCTTTCTCTGTAATACAGTGGAGCTTTGGAATTTGGATGATGATTGCTGATTGAATAATGATACAAGAGGAGGGTCACGCTATCTCTTGTGGGATACTACATTTACAGGAGCAGTTTGACTTCTCTAATTTAGGTGTCCGTTTATGACACAGAGAATAGCTGCGATTCAACGGATCTCAGCTATTCTCTGGTCATTCACAGTTTATAACACTCAGGAGATCATGTCAGCCCTTCGCTGGAGATCTGTGTTCTCCCTCCAGATTCTCCAGCCCAGAGCTGGAGAATCAGAGGGACCGCAAACTAAGCAGAGATAATTTACCTCTGCTTAGTAAATCTGATCTTTTACTGTAATCTCACGAGATTATAGTAAAATCAGCCGTTTTCCAGAGTTTGTAGACCGTTCTCCAGCGTTTGGAGACCGTTCTCCCTTCGTTCGGAGAACTGCTTCATAAACTGCATTCACAGGAGAACTGTGTTCTCCGAGAATGCCGGAG